ATAGTGTCCTGCGTCGAAGCAGAGTTTTTCCGAAATGAACCGAGGGATTGTCAGTGGGGGTTGCAAACACCGTAACCTCCATGCGCATCGGAAGATAGAATTTCCCCTGTTCGCTGTGCGATCGAAGCGGCCAATTGCCGCCAGGATAGCAGGGATGACTATCGAAATTGTAGCGCAGAGGCACTCCCCATCTTGGTTGGAAATCCCAGACGTTTGTGAAAAACGCACAAAAAAACTTGAATCGTGTGATTGTTCTTAGTGGTAAGTTACCACTATCTACCACTGGTAACGCTAATGTTGCTGGAAGATTTAGTTTTATAATAGAGTTCCTCAGTGCCGAGCACACTACTGACGCGTGAAGTACTTATGCATGCAGTATCCGAAACTAGAGATCCTACATGCAGTTCTTACAGTAATACATGTAGTCTAGAATTGTAATGCAAGTCGCCCTTTGATCTTTCCTACGATCGCGAGCAAGGTATCTGTATACTCGACTGTAGATTCCAAAGTAGTTCACCAGTACATTTTACGTTTCCCAGCAACTACTAATAGTTGGCAACTAGGTATTCGAATGATTTGTTGTGCGGACGAGCAAGCGGCTTCAACTTTCCATCTGAAGATGTTGTGTCCGTGATCACTTGCGATGGTGCTACCCCTGTGGATTCAAAGAAGTTCTCTGGTGACAAAGCCTTCCAGCTGCGAATTGCTGCTTTACCGCAAAGGTTATGCATACATGTAGCTATTCGCCACATAATGTGTTGGTGGTTTGAGTTAAAAAAAATGACTGGTGTTTAGAATTGTTGAAGGTGGCAACAACAGAAGGACTAAATGGCAAGAAGTTTTGACTCCAATTTTCGAGTTGATATTATCCGGATACAGGTACGAGCACATGCCAAGAAGTGCATCGTAGATATCGGTCATTACTGTATGTTCTGGGTAACATTTACTGTATCATGTAGATCTAAGTATCCCAGATACATGTCATGACGCCCAAAACCTGCTCTACAATAGTGTACAGCATCTGCCATTTCCCGAGCTATCTGCAACTTTTACCAGCTAGCCTGAAAATCTCCATCCATCCGTTACCAATCTCTTCCGATTTTTGGTTTTGCTTGTCCTTATGGGTGTGCTTTCTTTTGGAGGTTGTGATCGGGACGAGTCTGTTTCAAACCTGTCGAAAGGGTGGACTTGGCTATGAAGCATGAAACATTGCTCAGTGCTATTACAGTTGGTTGCTGCTTTAAGATCGATTTGAGCTGCGTGGTGGTAAAGTGGCCTTCTATTTGATTTTTATTTGTTTTTCCTAAAGAAGTTTTTTTAAACAAAAAGTTCTATAGGAAAGCAAATAAGACGCGACTTGACGCCGTCCGTCTGTCCTATTACACTTCTGTGTTGGTCTTGCAGCTTAAATCGTATCAAGTAGGCCTGGAGAAGGCTGTGCATGTTGTGCTCTGGATTTATATTTCTCCAGTAATGTATGTTTTCATTAACAGTGTGACAGCTTCCAAGTCGGCCCCGCGCTAGAGTACCCTATTGTGCACCGAAGGTGTAGTTGAGCTCTGTCTTAACATTCTTCTCGTTGTGGTCTGGTTTCTTTGTCTGTCAAGCTCTACATCGGTGCTCTCAAGGCTCTGATACTTCTTTTGTGTGATTTTGTCGACGCTATCGACCCACAAGTAGGTCTTAGATGGTCCACTCAACTGGCTCAACGTTCGGATTCCTTTGCATTGGTAATGCTGCACTGGCTTGCTGCGAACCAAGTGGTTGAAATCACATACTCGCTGCTTGAATCGGTGCCAAATAGCATTGCCATTTTCCTTGAAAAACGATCCGATTTGTGAGAAATCAACGTAGCGTAATCGTAATCTCTAGAAGCGTAATCTACTTTAAAGTAATGTGGAAACAGTACTGTCGTCAAAACCTCGTGCTTCGACTCATTGGGTGCTCTGAACTGGCAGTCTTGGATATCATACTCCGTACTTCGAAGTAGTATGTAAGAAAGCGGATTCATATAGGATAACGACAAGCTAATGACAAACCACACCAACCCAATTTGGTAGCGAAACAACGAAAACGAACTCACACCACTAGTACAATCTGCTACTTGGGAAGAGCAGTAGGTTTGATTCGTCTCTCTTTCATGCAACCAGACTTATTACTAGACCTCTAAAGCTGTAGTGGTGTATCTTTGGCTGGTCCACCACCAAATGCAGTGAGTACGCTTTGGTCTGTTGTAGCAGCTGAACACGTCCTCTCCAGAAGCTTAGTTGAACAGTTCCTATACACACTCCTTTAGAAACCTGACAACTTGTAGGATATAAGTTCTCGTTGATTCATGACGCTGTTTTAGTTCCTCGCTGACACTTTCGGGCTTCTGGCCCAGAGTCTGGGCGCCGTCATTTTGACGTAAGCACGGGTCCGAATTCAAGGACGTTGAGTCGACATCGCATTTCAACGATGCTCAGGTTGAAGTTATCCACTTGTTCCTTGTTTTTAACCAATCCCATGTCGGATACCATGCAAAACTGTTTAACATCCTCTGCTTGGGTAAACGTGTCATTTCAGTATTCGCGTCCTCGGTGTCAACCAGCCCCATGATCTTCCGCTCCCGCCTCCCCACGTTACCCATTCCGGACGACGCTTCCATCTGGAAAGTGGTCGAGGATCATGCACGCACCATCGGGAACAAGAAGGCCTTCATCTGCGGCATCACAGAGAGGTCCCTCACCTTCGCAGAGCTACTCGAACAGGCGAAAAAAGTCTGCGCAGGACTCGCGGCCAATGGCCTCAAGAAGGGCGACATCGTGATCCTGCACTCTTTCAACTGCCTCGAGTACGTCGTTGTATTCCTAGCGCTCAACCGCCTCGGGGCCATCATATCCCCGTCCTCGCCACTTTTCAATGGCAAGGAACTGGCTGACCAGATCGAGATTGCTGAAGCTGCTGCAGTCATTTCGCACAAGAAATTCGCCAAAGTGGCAGTAGAAGCCGCTGGACTACGACGTCTGCCACTCTCGCGAGTGTATAC